TTTTGTATAAATTTCACATATCCAAATTTTGTTCGCGACCACCATTCCATAAAATGGAATTTTATTTTCACAAGAGAATATTTAATTAAGAGTGCGGATGTGAGACACATCGGCGTTTGCTTCGTTATTTTTATGTAGAATCTGCAATAAATCGGTTATTTTAAACAAGTAGTATATAATATATTAAAAATTTACTTTCTGTTAATGGTATAAGATTTAAATAAACTAACATTTAGAAAATATTTAGAAAAGAAAATATACATATGATTGAAATTCCGGTATATAACAAATTATTACGTCTGAATATCCTAGCGAAGTGCCGTACATTCGTATTTTTTCTGGCAATTTTCGAAAATTCTTTCTGTATACATATAAGTGCTAGGACAATTAATACAGCGATAAAATGTACCTGTACACCGACCATATTGATGGTTTGCCTCTATAATGGATGTTCTACGTTTCTAATTCTCGATTCTTGCGTATCTAAAATTTCGAAGTCATCACAGCGAACGTGAAACAATAATGACTGTTTGTTCCTTAGCCTTCAGCTGTCCCTCGGATCAATTTAAATTTAATTAATTAAGTTGTTGCCTTTTAAAGGCATCAATTATACCCATATCATCTTCGTTTTCCAGTCTAGTATACTAGTTATATCAAACAGTTATATTTATATTGGACAAGATATTCAAAATTTGATTAATAGTTTTCCTGAAATATATCAAAATTTTTAAGTTACAAATAATCCTGCGCTCTATGATTGTTGTGAAGGCGCTCTATAACTTTTTAATAATTTTCAATTATTAAAAAGAGTTATCGAAAAAAATTTTTTAGGATATAAAAATTTCATTCTTCGAAATGAAAATTTGTATTTCTGGTATTTTCAGTATCAGGAAACGCCGCTCGTAATTCAATAAGGATAAGCATCCAAGGGATAGAAGAAGATTGAGCATACGCACGTACAGCTTACCATTATTTTCAAGGAAACGATGATTAATAACATATGTTCCGCATGTAATAGAGATATATTAAAATATTTTGAGAGGCAAATTCGTGAATTACATAAGAATGAATAAAAAGGAAATAATATATATATATATATATATATATATATATATATATAACACATACACACACACACACACACACACACATATATATATATATATATATATATATACATAACAAATATATTTAATAAATTCTTTGACATATATATTGTAAATTCGGAGAGATATTCATTAATCTATAATAATCTATAATAGGATGGATCCCAATAATTTTGTTAATTAGCCGGTGATGTTGAAGATATTGCGAATTGCGAAATATCAATAGTTAGGAACCAAAGTCGTAGCAACAAATAGATAACGCAATGAACGAATAAAATTATTCTTACAACTGGAAATTAAGGGAGCGAGTGAAAATGAAATATAACGTGTTATAACGTACAGAGATTTTTTTAGGAATAAGGAGCTTCTGTATAAAATTCTCACTAAGTGTTACTCTGTCACAATATTTAACGTTCACGTAATTATTTATTTGAAAGAGTATTGCGTGTAATATTTTTGCCCTCAAAACTTACCAAGACAAGATAGGGAAAATTGAACGATGAAAGATGGATTCTTGTTACGTACCTCAGAAGTACGTCAGAGACCTGTTGTGAAAGAAATAAACATTAATAGTAGTCTCTGTGGTCGAAAGTTGTATTAACATGAAGTATTAGCGGGAAAGGAGCGTAAGCGTTTCTTATAAATTATTAATTGGAACTAGCGATTAAGTCTTGTAATTACAAAAGCTGTATATAATGTGTATAACGTATCATATACGTTATTCTTGCGTTCGCCGAATCTTCGTTTAGTCATTTTTTTTTATATGAATGCAGCATTGTGAGAATAATTTATAGGCATATTTAATTTACCTGTATCTACAAAAGCAACTAGCCAAACTTCTGTAAATAGATCGTCTCATAATAAAATCTATCTAAAGAATAATAGGTATGGTCTGAGATATTTGCCATTGCTCTGTCATCCCTATTGTCTTATCGATACGTGAATGCATTATACAATTTTACAATCATTATAATTTTATTACATAGGATACTTGAAAACTATAATTATCCCGAACTGCATCGATTCTATTCGAGACAAATGAAGATTTCAGGGGGCAATAAATATTTATATGTAAATTTTTATATTACCATATAATGTATATGTATATAATTCCAATAATACATATTAATATCTTTTTTTTTGTTGACTTTTTAATTATCGATCACGATTAACATGATGATGTAAAAAATTATCTTACATCTGAAAATAATTGTTGAAAATATAATTGAGAATATGTTTAAGGACGATGTTTTTCAAACTTGCATTTTCGAATTCTCTCTTTAATCTATAATCGAACTGATGACATTTCTAATGAAACGCTAGTTTATAACGCTAGTTTATTATAATTAAAAATAAACTGTTCATTGACTAGGAAGTAGCGCGAGAAAGAATCTCCTTAATATATCTTCTTTTAAAGAAGATATCTATCCATTTTTAAAAGGGAAATTCATACAAGAAGTTTAATTTTTCCCCGATTGATTTCTTTGTAATGCTATTGTAATGCTATTTTCGTGCTGCGAAGATAGCTGTTAGCACAAAGTTCATACATTTTGTTTGATAGCTTTGATAGCTTTGAAGTATTTATCAATTAAAAATGATGTTTGATTGTATAAGTTAATTTTTTTATGTCGCAAAGCCAACAATCATTCAAATTCAAGTTGACATGTTATAATGTGCACATTGCGACATAAATTGGTAGACTTTGCACTTTATATTTAATCAATAGGTACATATGTAATATCGGAAAATACATAGCGTACGTTTTTCAAAGATAAAAACATTATGTCTTCCAGAAAATTGCGTAATTTTACTTATTCTCTGTGTGATCGAATGAATTCTTTTTGCAAACGTCGCGGTAACCATATCGTAAAAATTATGGATCTTTCCCTGCAAATTAAAAAAAATTTATATGATTTTTCCATACGCGTGCTCAGAAATACATAATTTTGGATGTAACATATGAACATTCTTCTTTTAATACTTCTCCCCCTCCCCCCATACATACACTATTTTGCATAAATTAGTGCAGAATTCCCCATAGTGCGCGTAATGTTAATGTTGACGATAATTGAACGAAAATGCATAGATTACTTTGATCCGATGTAACTTCGCGAAGAGAAATCGTACAAATCCCTTTCTTAATACGCAAAAAAATTCATATTTTACGATGGTTGTACGTAACACTTGCGAAAAGAACTTATTTGACCTTATAAAATGCGTTAAATTATATAATTTTTTTTTTTGGAGACGTAATATGTTGTTATTTCAGAAAAGATGATAAGAGGAAAGGAGGATAAAAGTGATAACAAATACTCCTTAAAATATTTAAAGTACACGCTTTATCCTTGAAAATATAAAAAAAATTTCAAATACGCTAATTTTTCACTAAGTTATGCTTATTTAAAGAGAGTTATGAGAAATTTTGATGTAAATATACCTTTACGATAATTTTATTGTCAAGTGTATTTCTTTATTCAATATAAAATTCAGATTCAATCAATTTGTGTCGCAATATATATTACGTCACTTTACACTTTGAATAATTATCGTGCGACATGAAGAATATTATTTATATTGAAGTAGCTATGTTTTCTAAAGATTGTCACAGCTGTATAAGATCTTCTCAATACTTATTTTTTTAATTATATTTCCGTCTTGTACTTCTCAAAATGATATCTGACATGATATCTGAAGCTCGATCAAGTATTTATCGTACAAAGTTTAAATGATTTCTAAATATAAATGTCTCGTAATATAAATGTCTCAAAGATAATTGCAGTGATTCTGTTAAGAACAGTAGATCAGTAGATGAAGTTTTAAAAGTTTTATTCGATATAATCTTACTAGCTGTAGTTAAAATTTTAAAATGAAAATTATTTTCTAAACGTAAGTGTACTCTATATGTGAGATTTATAAAAATTAATAAAATTCTTTAACAATTTAAAAATATTAGAAAATAGCAAATATTAACGTAAAATTATATTTTTATAAAATAAATTTATTCTGTGTTGTACATTTTACGCTAAAAGGTAAACACATTGTTGTAGGTAAGATATAAAACGTTTCTTTAACTACTAGTGTAATTTAAGCGAATATCAAATTTCGTAATTCAAGATATATAATTTATATTATTATTTTTTTCATGTAAACTTTTAAAATTATTTATATGTATATTAATTTATCTTTTATTAGAAAGGATTTTTTTTTTAATAAATATTATTATATGATAAATGCTTTATTTTAAGTATTAAGATAATAAGGTTTTCTTATTAAGAAGGAACAACAACATATTTTAACAAAATAGATTTTAGAAAAAACGCAATTTTTATCTATCTATAATTCACTAAATCAAAGATAATGCGAAACAGTAAAACCATTTTAATAAAATAACACATACTAAAATAAACGACATAAAATTTACACATAACTTTCTTCCAACAAGATTCAAACAATAAATATTAACTATCAATATAGAAAAATAAAATTAGATAATTTTATACTCAAATAATCTCTTTAAAAAAGCAGAATAGGGATATTTTGCATATTGCATATCATTATATGAAATTGTACATAGGATATTTCATTTTATCAATCCTTTAAAATATTTCAGAATCCTCTAGTTTAAAACAAAAATAGTTTCAGACGAGAAGTGTAGAGAAAGCTACATCATCATGATGTTGATTTATTCGCAGATAATACAACCGTTGAAATCTTTTTTAGTCATAAATACTTTTATAAAGAAATAAATACTTTTATAAGAAATATATTTTTCGTTATGATTCCTTTAGATATAAAGATATTAAGATATTAAGATATAATTATGAGAAAGTCAAGTTTACAAGAGATTTTATACTTTATTCTAGGACATAAAATATAAAATATCTCAAAAACATTCTTTTTATGATAACGTATTTTAATACTTTTATAGAATAATGAGACAAATCAAGTGGTGTTAAAATGTAACATAATTGCTTTAAAAAAATTATAAAATTAACAACATATAATAATAAGTACATACTTTTTTTTTATAAAACATGCATACTTTCTTTAATCGATTTGTCTCGTTATTCAATGCATAAAAATATTAAAGTCCGTGATTTAAAGAAACTAATAACTTACGAGATACTTTATATTATATGTCATAATAAAGAATGCCAGAATAAAGCATAAAGTACTTTGTAATTTTTTGACTTTTAAACTTTTTGATATTTTCTTTCGTAAATTATAAACATTTATATTTAATATCTTTAATATCCAGTAAAATAAAAAGGATCATATTACATAACAAAAGATAAGTAATTTAATTTAAAAAATTGAATCATAAAAAACCCAATAGCCGCGCCCTCTGCAAATGAATCAATATTACAATCATCCCATAGACACTATATAATACTTGTCAAAACATTTTTGCTTTAAACTTGAAGATTCTGAAATATTTCTGTGGATTGATTAAAATGAAACTATCTGTAATAATTTCAGTTTTTGCAAAATGTGATTGATAAAAGTTTTTGAAAAGTTACGTAATGTAAGTTATATGAATACACATACAATATATATTTAACTTACATGTTTATACATTATCTGTATGACAGGTTTTTTTATGAAATCCATTATATGTTTCCCTATTACATTTTATATTAATGTAATAATAATATTTTATATTTTTTATTACAGCATATCATATTATATAGGTACTATTAATATTTACATATTAAAAAAAAGAGGTAAAACAGAATTCTATACCCTTAAATCATAATGATCATTATTTTACTGCTACTATGTTCTTCTCTTATATTGTTATATTACTATATTCTACATTATGAAAAATTCGTACGACCTATTAATAAAATACCGAGTATGCCGTCATATCCATTGATCGGCCATCTCTTACATTTCTGGATGGCTTCACCGGGCAAGTAAAACTTCTTAAAAATTTTTAAAAAATAATTGAATAATTTAATAATTTAATTTAATTTTAATAATTTAATTTAAATGTTTATTATTAATAAGTGTTATAAATGGAAAACTAATTAACGATGAATTATATTTCAATGAATAGTGTTCGATTAAAAAAACGCATGATATAAAAAATACGTACTTTAAATTTATTTTTTTTTATTTATATAACTTATATAATAGTATTTGTAAATTTTAATTTTGCTTTAGTACTTAATGTATTTAAACACAAAAAAATTAATGGATGGAGAGATTTTATTATATTTTAATCATGAAACGTTCATAATTCATTGAAATAAATCAAATTATATAAATGAAAATGCCAATAATAAAATAAATAACAAAATTTTATATACATTTGCTTAATAATAATATATAAATAATCTCATAGATAAAAATAATAAATTTATGTCATTTCTTACTATATTTTATATTTATATTTTAGAAGACTTGTGGAAGTTAATACGTTCAATGGCTGTGACTTATTATCCAATTTCTAACTTGTGGTTAGGTCCAATTGCTGCAGTTGGTATTCGTCATCCAGATGATATAGAGGTAAATAGAAGATAATCAATTATTTATAAATTTTTTCTGTGCATTTATTACAAAAAATTATTAAAGTATTAATTATATATTCAAAATTATATTATTGATATAAGAAAAAGTTTTTCAAATTATATAAATACAATATTGTAACGCGTGCAACATTTTTGCACGCATTCTATATTTCTACATTCTCTATTTCATTATTCATTAAAAATATAATTCATTGAAAATATCGTTTAATATAATCTTATTTCTTATTTTAGAAAATATTAAGCAGCACAACACATCATCTTGCAAAGGGTTATTTATATAAATATTTACATCCTTGGTTGGGAACTGGTCTATTAACTAGTAAAGGTATCGTAAAACAATTTTAATTTTAACAAGAAATTAGTATAAAAGATCACGAATATAAAATTTATATAAAAATATTATCATTAATAAATAACATAACAAAATATTATTATAAGAAATAATACAATAAAACTTATATAAATATATATTTAATATTATTATGTGTTTGTACATTTAAAAACAAGAAATAATTATTACCATTATTTTGTCAATAATAAAATGCAATAATATAGTATTGATATACAATATAAATAAAAAAATTATCAATTTATTACAAAATTAAGTATTGTTCTGTTCAAATAAAGAAAACATATCAAGAGACACAAAATAGAAATTCATTGCCAAATTCATACGCAGCGAATTCATTGAGAATGACGGTGAGATGCCCGTTTATACGCAAAACTCCTATATTTTTGTACATCAAAAACGGTTCAACAAATTAAATTTTAAGTGTAGTCGACAATTAAAGTTCAAATTAAATCATAAAACTGATTTTCAGCTTTTCGCTAGTTAAAGATATCGCAAGATATAATATATAAGTTGACAAAAATGTTCACATCAGACAAGGGCACAGAATGCCAAGTTTGGTCTAAAATCGTTTTATAAAATTTCACATTTGCAACAGCATCCGTGAATAGTACGATCATATGTATTTACCATAATAATAAAACAATATTTGAAAGTAATTATAAGTGCTTGTCAAAGAGTATAAAGAATAATAATTTAAGAAGATATTATTATTGATATTATTATATTACTTAATCCATCTACAAGATCTTATACACACACAAGAACAATAATTTTATTACACTTCACTGATAATTACCCACACAAATGTTTGGAACTTTTATTAATAAACTGAGTTTAAATTGAAAGTGTAATTGCGTACCATATACAGTGCTGATTCTCAATTATGCTACGGTTTCCCATAGCTGTAACTCCGAGAATCATTTTTGTTAATAGTATAAAAATTAAATAAAAATTAAAAAATAACCTCTAGATTAAAATATTTTTTATTTCATAAGATTGCAAATTGACGCCACATTTTGATATCACATTTTTTTGTATAAATTTATATAAATCTTTTGTATAAATAACAAAATGGTTTACTTTCTGCTGTGGAAATTTTTCCATAAAATTGACTTTTTGTACAGAAATTTAGAACGACGACTGCGTAAACTTGGCATCATTTTTCTAACCATTTTTCGAAATTTTGTACAAACATATAATTTTGAAATATGTGCAATACAAAAACAAATTTGATTTTGTAAGTGTAATTAATAAATACTATTTCTATGACATCAAATTTATTAACGCAAAACTTACTAAATAAATAAATTTTAATAATAAAAATTATAAGTATATTATTTTATCTTTGTAATAGGAATAAAGTGGCATAAAAGGCGAAAGATACTGACACCTACATTTCATTTTAATATATTAAAACAATTTGTTGAGATACTGATTAAGGAAGGAAATCATTTAACACAATCCTTGAAAAATTCTGAAGGTTCTACAATCGATAACTTGGTGTTCTTTATCAGTAAACACACGTTGAATGCAATATGTGGTAAATCAATATGTATGCATCCCCTTTTTCATACACACACACACACACACACACACACACACACACACACACACACACACACACACACACACACACACACACACACAATACTAACTACGTAAGTTAACGTTACGTTAACTTACTAACTAATAGTTATATTATATATATATATATATATATATATATATATATACTATATTTGTTAAACAATAAATTTAGTACTTTAACACTTTTAATATAATGTTTTTATAACTTACAGAGTATTGAGACCGTGGCTAGTTTTCGATATAATATTTGCATTAACATCAATGGGTAAAAAGCAAAACAGATGTTTAAAAATATTGCATGGATTCACGGAAAAAGTCAGTAAAAGTTGTTTTATTTAAATATTTGAAAATCTTTTTATTAAAAATGTTATAATAAATTTAATAACCTTCTGAATATATAATCTAACATTGCTGATGTGTTCTACAACCTATGACAATATTATAATAAAAAATTAAATCAATGAAATGTACTCTCACCTTTTACAGATTATCGCAGAGAGAAAAAAATATTATGAATGCAATAAAGGTCATTTAGAAAATTTTGCTGATATAACAGACGATAAGTTAGACGAAATAGACGATAAGCAGGTGATAGGAGGTATGTATAAATAGATTATGCAATATCTATCTTATCAAATTAATTTTCACAAATTATTTTATCTGTTTAAGTAAAAAAAAAACGACTTGCTATGTTGGATCTTCTGATATCGGTGGCTCGTGATAACGAAATTAATGATTTAGGCATTAGAGAAGAAGTCGATACGTTTATTTTTGAAGTAAGCATTTGCCATTCCCTGATACCATAATAACATATAACAATAAGAAAAAGCAGCAATAGAGCGAGATATGGAAGATAATATCGTTGTTCATTTTATTACTATTTCATTTATAAAAGAGCTTATCATTTTAAAATAATTGTGTCAAATAAAGAAAAATAAGGAGATATTTTGGATTTTAGTACTGATCGCATAATAAATGAAGACATAAAAAAAAAGGTTTTCTATTGCAGGGGCATGATACTGTAGCGACGGGTTTAACTTTTGCAATATTGTTATTAGCTGAGCACAAAGATATTCAGGTATTTGATAAAATAACTGTTCCGGTCGATACATATTACTAATTATTATGCAAAAACAATTAATTAAGATCCTTTATTTTTAATAAATTATCTTTAAATAAACACAACACAGAATGTTGATTTAAAAGTATATATGCACGTAAAAATATCTTTTTGTTTTTATTAATAATATCTTAAGGAGTTATTTTGCATACAAATAATGCAGCATAGATAAAGCATCAGTTTGATTAAAAATAAAGAATGGTCAGCCAAAAAAAGATATAAAACTTTGTTTCATATAATAGCAACGTGTCAGAGACGAAGTTAATGCCATCATGCATGCAAATAAAGGAAAACTTACGATGTCAGCGTTAAATGATATGTCTTATTTGGAGAGATGTTTGAAAGAATCATTACGGTTATATCCTAGTGTCCCTTATGTAATGCGATCCGTATCAGAAGATGTAAATCTGCGTGAGTAATTAATTATCTATTAAATAATTTAGACATAAAGAAGGGGGAAAGAAATATTTTAGCATATAATATATAATATATAAACATTGATTTCATTTAATATTTTAATAATTTTAAGTCATACCGTACTCTGCTACTTCTATTACATATTTTTAGTTATAAATATGTGATATTAAATAAAACTACTTCGTTTTCAAATATTTTTCAAATTAGTTTTATCATATACGTAATAAACATCTAAATTCACAAAATTATTAGTTCAGATGACAAAATTATGATAACTTGTATTCGATTAGAATGTGAAATAACTTATATATAAGTATATGTATTTATTATCTCAAGCTTTAATCAGCTTGATCTTGATATACGTTAATATTAAGCTCGGAATTCCATATTTTAGTCAATATTTATCTTTATTTTTTTAAAAATTCATTCTTGTTTACAAATTATCTTTATCTGTTATATGACATACTATAAAGAAATGCATTAACATAATATACTAAATGTTATACTAAATTATATATGAAGATACATATATATCAATTTCAGACTCATATTTGATACCTTCTGGCACACTACTATATATCGGTATCCAGGAGGTTCATAGAGATTCCAATTTCTGGCCAAATCCAGAGGTATTCGATCCAGATAGATTTTTGCCTGACAAAATCCAAAATCGTCATCCTTATTCCTACATACCATTTAGTGGAGGACCACGAAATTGTATAGGTAACGTCTGAGACATTAATTTGAGATGTTAATTTTTTTAATTACGTAAACAACTACTAATGTATTTATAAATAACAGGACAACGATTTGCTATGTTAGAAATGAAAGCTATGATAGCACCGTTGATATACAATTTTTATTTGGAGCCTGTAGATTATTTAAAGGATCTTCGTTTCAAGGTGGACATTATAAATCGTACTGTAGATCCTATCCGAATACGATATATTCCAGTCGATCAAACGCAATCGACTTTATAACATTTAATACCAGATAATTTTATTAAATAAGAGGAAATTAATTTTCTTTAAATCTCTTAATATAAAAAACTTATTCGAATTGTTGTATTTTATTAAATAATACATGTATCTATGTATTTCTTGGGTGTAAAATATAAGAAAGCAAAGAGAGATAAAGTAACAATGACATTATATATATATATATATATATATATATATATATATATACGTAATT